TAGAACCCTTACCAAAAATGCACAAGTTATCTTAATGGTCCCAAAGAATTGATTACAGTTGTGTCATGTGCAGTGAGCACCAAGTTCTAAGCTGATTAAGTAAGCCCTACTTACGATTTTAGTGGAGCCAGAACTTAGTCCTGCATTTCTGTATACGGCAATTATCAACCAAAAACATGCCCACCAAGTGTACAAAGTCTACGCCACATACACAGCCAGTTAAACTGACACGTCAATATATATCCACGTGGACATACTAACGTTTCCATGCCAGCTGCCTCTACTTGTTTCCTTCTGCGACTACTTTAACCATTCCTAATTAGGATCCCAAAAGATATTTTCTAGGGAAAAAAATGGGGAAAAAAATAAAATAAAACGACCACCAATTGGCAAGTCAATGCGAGGAACAATCTGCATGGCAATGCGAAGCTGTTGATAGCAATATTTAAAATATTGGTTAAACATCAAATACATTATTAATTTACGTTCAAATTATTTTTTTTAACCAACTTTATTATTAAATAATTTCGATTTTTAATTAAAGACTTCTGTCAAAACTATTTAAAAAATCGTCAGGTTTTCTACAAAACCACATTTTTTTTTATATAAAAACAAAAAATACTATTTGAATGAAAATATAAATGAAAAGTTTTTAAAAGACGAAAGGAAGTATTTAAAATTAACAGCGTATTTGAGGTTCGTACTAAAATATTTTACTTTGACGAAGCAAAGCGTCTAGAGTGAGAGACTTTTTGCGCTCCATGGGCCACACTGCACTTCTATATTGGCATTTCCTACTTCCCAACTTTTTCCCCTGCATAATTGAATTTCATTGCTTTCCAAGCAGATCATTTCTAGGGGCTCTAATCTTCTCTCTTCCCTTTTCTTTCCATTGGTTATTTTCACATACTTGTCAAGTAAAAATCTGCACTGCAAGAAAAACTATGAGCGTGGAACATCAATGGATTTCTTTCCAATGCTTCTTCCTTTTTGCTTCTCCTTGTTGCTGATTATAGCACCATCCACAGCAGTTGACTCCATAAATACCACTCAACCATTTAGAGATGGGGATTTCCTTGTTTCAGCTAGTGGAAGCTTTAAACTGGGATTTCTCAGCCTAAGCAGCAGCCCCAGCAATCGTTACCTGGGCATATGGTACAACCAAATATCTACCACGACTATAGTTTGGGTTGCTAACAGAGAAACCCCAGTTAATGATTCATCAGGTGTTTTAAGGATTACTAGCCAAGGGATTCTTCTCCTTGTCAACCAAAGTGGGAGACAGATATGGTCTTCCAACTCATCAAGGTCTGCAAGCAATCCGATTGCGCAGCTTTTGGATTCAGGAAACCTTGTTGTGAAAGAGGAGGGTGATGATAAGCTGGAGAATTCCTTGTGGCAGAGTTTTGACTATCCTGGGGATACGTTCCTGCCAGAGATGAAGCTTGGAAGGAATACTGTAACAGGTCTGGATCGGTATATATCATCATGGAAGACATCTGATGATCCTTCTAGAGGTAATTATACTTTTAGACTTGATCCAGCTGCATATTCCGAGTTAATTGTGAGACAGGACTCAGACGAGAGGTTTCGGTCCGGCCCATGGAATGGTATGCGGTTCAGCGGTACTCCTCAGCTGAAACCTAATCCAATATACACATACAGATTTGTTTATGATGATGATGAGGAATACTACACCTATCAGCTTGTTAATCGCTCATTTCTTTCAAGGATGTTGATAAATCAGAATGGTGATGTCCAGCGCTTCACCTGGATTGATCGAACGCAATCTTGGGAACTCTATCTTTCAGTCCAAACTGATAATTGCGATCGTTATGCAATTTGTGGTGCCTATGCCACTTGTAGTATCAACAACTCCCCTGTATGTGGTTGTCTGGAAGGATTTGCACCTAATGTTTCTAAAGATTGGGACACAATGGACTGGTCAAGTGGTTGTGTTAGAAAGACTCCATTGAATTGCTCTGGAGATGGGTTTCGGATGTTCTCTGGCATAAAGTTGCCTGAAACAAGAAAATCATGGTTTAACAGGAGCATGAATCTTGACCAATGCAGAAGCACATGCCTGACGAACTGCTCCTGTACAGCTTATGCAAATTTGTACGTTAGCACTAATGGAGGGAGTGGGTGCTTGCTGTGGTTCGATCGCCTGATTGATATGAGACAGTTCAATGAAAATGGGCAAGATATTTTTATAAGGATGGCTGCATCAGAACTAGGTAAATCCTCTTACCTCAGAGGCAACTCTCAAATGCTGAGATTCTAATAGCTTGCCAAATGTAGTACATATTACATGAATTAACTGCCTGACAGACTCGCTAAAAACGCTATGTAACTGTAGTGAATTTCCTCTTCTAGATTGGCGTCTTACTCATGCTGTATCCATAGACATACATGAACTTATTTGTTTTGAAACTAATGACTGTCATAGATGAGAGAATTAGATTGTTCTGGCTCCCTAATGAGTTTTGTCCATCCATAATAATCAACCACTCGATTAAAGCAGTAATTAGAATTTCCTATCTGATTTCTAACTTCTAGTTTCTCTTCTCTTAACTGCTTTATGTCTAGACAATCCTAGTGGCGCGGAAGCTAAATCCAAAGCGAAAAAACGAACACGGAACATAATAATCTCTGTGTTATCTATAGCAATGGTGTTCTTCTGTCTAGCCCTGTTCCTGCTTGTCCGAAGAAAGAAGAGGCAGAAAGACAGTAAGTTATTCGATCCATTAAATTTTAAATTCCGTCTATCTAGTCCTTTTCATGCTCGGCAGGGTACATTTATTCTTAAAATTTACTGATATGAGATACAACAGAAAACTGTTTAGGAAACCATTACATTTGAAATTTTAACAGAACATAGAGGATTTTTTGTTTCTTTTCAAATCATTGTTATGATCCTTCGCAGGGAAAATGAAAGATGTTATGGAAGCAAATCAAAATAATCAAGGCGAGGAGGAAGATCTAAAATTGCCATTGTTTGATTTAAGTACAATGTCCCGTGCAACCAATGACTTTTCTACGGCCAATATACTTGGAGAAGGGGGTTTTGGAACTGTCTATAAGGTAATCGACACAAGTTGTTGAATTTTGTGGTACAAACTACTGGCAGCGCCAATGTAGCTTTGTGCATGGTATTAGTTTTACTAAAAAGACAATCAAACATGCTTATAATATATATGGAGTGACCATTTACAGGGAATGCTAAAAGATGGACAAGAAATAGCTGTGAAGAGGCTTTCAAAGAATTCGAAACAAGGACTTGATGAATTAAAAAACGAAATCATGCATATTGTGAAACTTCAGCATCGAAACCTAGTGAAGCTTCTAGGTTGCTGCATTGAAGGTGATGAAATGATGCTGATCTATGAGTTCATGCCCAACAAAAGCTTGGACTTCTTTATCTTCGGTTTGTGTCTCAAAACCCTTACAAATTTAACTAGTGTATTTTAATTAGTTTTCTTGCCATGCAAAATCCAAATCCTACTTTCTTTTTAAGTAATGCTTTGACTGAAGCCACAGTTAAAGTGTCAAGGGGATGGAGAAATCATAAGTACCTTAGCCTGTCCCTATTAAACTTCCTCCAAAATCCATTTGAAAAATGATGTTCTGTGGATTGGGGAAGGGGTTTCTCTACTTCCTTTGTCACTTATGCTGTCATAGCAATTTGCTATACCTGAAAATACATCAAAATATTAGTTATGCATTACTTTTCCTTCCTTCCCATGGATTTATTAACCTGATAATAATCAAAAAATGAAAAACATTTTGGCAGATGAAACAAGAAAAGAGGTACTAGACTGGTCTAGACGCTTCCACATTATCAATGGGATTGCTCGGGGACTCCTTTATCTTCACCAAGATTCGAGACTTAGAATAATACATAGAGATCTGAAAGCCAGCAATATTTTATTGGATTATGAAATGAATCCAAAAATTTCAGACTTTGGCCTGGCTAGAAGTTTTGGAGGAAATGAAACTGAAGCGAATACAAATAAGGTGGTGGGAACATAGTAAGTGCTCTACTATTTGCCAGTTGTTTCCAGTCCTTGAAATGTGATTTATCATTTTCTAACATTGAATAAGCGCCTGCAGTGGGTACATATCACCAGAGTATGCAATTGATGGGCTCTACTCTGTGAAATCAGATGTCTTTAGCTTTGGTGTAATGGTGCTAGAGATAGTGAGTGGGAAGAGAAATAAAGGATTTTGTCACCCAGACCACAAGCAGAACCTTCTCGGACATGTAAGCTTCGCAGAAGAAACATTTCATTATTTCTGCATACCAAGCTGCATGCTAATATAATGTTTAATCCCAGGCATGGAGACTATTTACAGAAGGCAGATCCTCAGAAATTATTGCAGAATCAATTCTAGAATCATGCAATTTCTATGAAGTGCTGCGTTCGATACACATAGGTCTATTATGTGTGCAACGAAGTCCGAGAGATAGGCCAAGCATGTCATCAGTGGTTATGATGTTGGGTAGTGAAAGTGAATTGCCTCAGCCGAAAGAACCTGGTTTTTTTACCACAAAGGATCTTGGTAAAGCAACTACCTCATCAACTAGGAGCAAGGTTTCAGCTAATCAAATCACCATGACACAACTGGAAGCAAGATAGTTGAATTTTTGTAATGGTAGTTTTTTAGTTTTTCATACCTGGGACTGAGCTATTATAGAAACTACTCCATAATTTTATTTATTTTAGAATCTTTTCATCATTCAGAAATTATTTGTTATATTATTTGTATAGGCATTTGTTTTTTTTTTTTTCCTTTTTCTTTGTGATAATTGTATAGCCGTGTAGGCTTTTGTTCGATTTAAGGTTCATAATCTATTATTAGAAAGAGAAAAATCAAAAAGCTAAAGGAAAACAGAATTCATGTTTAAATTAAAAGAATGACTCCCGTTGTTTGTATCACTAGTTTCAAATGCTAGCAAAGCCAACATGAATTCCATTGCTTTTAGTTACATATACATCTCAAGCTCTGAGTCCTCCCCTGTTTTGTTCTACAATTGTATCCTTCCAAAAGTCCCCTCTCTAATTTAAGCTATAACTAGTTTTTTTTTTTTTTTTTTGCTTCGTGTTACGCTGTAGATTGAATAAAATATATGAAATTATTTTAAAAAATCATTTTAGTTTGATAATCTATGTTGTGGTATAAATCTATAAAATTATATAAAATCAAAGGTGAAAAAATTATTTATAATTTTTTAATCAAAATTTTGTATTTAACTATTTATTTCTTGTGTTTTTAATAATTTTTTTTTGTTAGAAAAATGATTTATTCTTGTTAATCCATGAATTATTAACTAAAAAAATTAAAAAAATAATTTTAAAAAAGCTTTGTGTCAAAAAGCTAAAGTAACAATTAATAAAAACTTACATAGAATTGAAAAAAAAAATTTATTTTTATTTTTATTTAATGTTGATGAGAATATCGATTTTTGAAAGAATATGAATTTAATTTTTATATATTTTTCACAAAAAATGAATAATATTAAAATAAAAGGCTTTATTAATTTGAATGATTGAGTGGTTAAGTGAAAACATAATTTTAATTATTTAATTTAAAATATTGAAAAATAAATAAATAGTAAATACTTAGTATAGTAATAGTTGTATAGTTAATTTCTAAAAAAACCCATTTAATATTTTTTTATGCATCATAACTATACTAAGTGAGTTCAGAGTTTTCAGCATAAAAAAAAAAAAAGACAATAAAAAAAAGTTAACTTGAAAGGAATATCTAACTAAATTTGAAGTTAATAGAGTAAAATAAAAATTATTATAAAATTAATTTCGATAAATTTTAATTGTATAAAGAATAAACAAATAAAACACGTGAATTATTTTCTTTTCTTTTTTCCCTCCTTCTAAAATATATATATTTTTATTTTTATGCTATACATGACTAGTTCTTGAATATAGGCTTCATGCGTAGAGCAACCATCTCCTTTATGTTTTTCACAGTTGACTTTCAATTATTAATTAACTATTTTGGGTTTTTTTCTTAAAAAATCTAGAAAAAAATTATTCGAAATACACTTTTAATCTAAAAAAGTATTTCGGACAAATTATATATATATCATGCTACTATAATTTAAAAATTATATAAATCTATTTTTCAAAAAAAAAAATAATCATATTCTAAAAATTTATTCCACAATCCATACATATAGAAAAATAAATCAAAACTATCGGTAAATATAATTTTAAATTAATTGAATGAGAATTTAAAAAATGACAAATTAAATTAATAAATTTTAAATAATAAAAGTAATTAATAAAAAATAATAAAATGAAATGGGATCGAATCAAAATATAATTGAAGTTTGAAATAAATAAAAATCTATAAAAAAAATTAAGGACAAAAGTATTACAATAATGTCATGAATAATGAAAGAAATAGAAATTAAATAGTATTATGAATAGTAAAAAATCTGTTTTGATTTACTCTTTTTTATAATAGCATTTAATGAGCAGGGCTGACAGATGAAGGAAATAGCAGAGCAAAATGAGGAGGGCTGAACGATGAAGAAAAGAGCAGAGCAAAATAAAAAGAAGGCGAAAAAAAACAAAAAACAAAATACAATTGTACAATAACATTTAATGTAATGAGGAGGGCTTACCTATCCATGAAGGAAGGAAAAGAGCAAAATCACGCAAAAAAGGAAACTGAAGAGAAACAAAAAATATGCCTTCAAGGGTGAAGAGGTAAATCAATAAAGAAAAAGAATGACAAATGAGAAATTAAAGAGAACTAAAGAAGGTAGAAATCAAACAGCAAATATGCATGATCGGATGATATGAAAAAAAGACTCTAAAATGAATGGATAAGATGGAAAAAAAAAAATCTAGACAATAAACATGAGTCAGCATAAATAGATATTTTGTTTCTAAATGCATAATAAATAAATAATATTTATTCCAGTTTTTTTTTTTAGTTTCTTTCTAATTACTATCGTGGTAAAAAAGCCACTGGAAATTATTCGATATTTGTCAATATTTGCTGTAAAATTTCAAATGGAGCCGACAAAAATTCAAACCTAAATTCCAAATTGGTGCAACTAGCCTAGTCCTACAAGTATCATTGTAAGGATAAGCCACCATCAAACCGACACCACTAATTTGTCTTCCTGACATTTCCATTTTGGTCTAGAGGACTTGTACTAAAGTAGGTCCAATAAAGCAACTAGCCTAGCTAGCCAACATACCATCGCCGTGCAATACTGGGCCATTCAAAACCTTATTCAAAGCATTAACATTATAGACCAGAACAAAACAAATATTCTAGTTAGAGAGAGAGAGGCTAATTAGAGCCAAGTCTCCCTGTAAAGTCCACTAGACAAGCAACCAAAGATTTCATCCATCAGGGAAAAGCATAACCACTCATTGAAATACTGTTAATCTTTTAGACTTAATGCAGTGGGGTAGGCTTTTTTGAAGTCGCCGACACAACTAGATGGACAATCACAGCTTCCTTCAGCTCTATATTGAGTTTTGACTATCCATTTTTCCTATCATTATCGTCTACCAAAAATGCATGCTATTGATTTCAGCTGATAAATGGAATATTATCGTACCAGCAGACTGAATGTTGAGTTTTTCCTCCCGACTGTTTTTAACACATCAGCTTGTGGGAGAACTAACATAGAGAGTACGTAGCAAGAAAAAACAATGAGAGTATCAAAGAATTACATTTCTCTACTTCTCTATATCTCTTGTTTATTGCTAATAATAGAAACGGCTACAGCCATTGACACCATAAACACAACTCAGTCCATTAGAGATGGTGATACCATTGTTTCAGCTAATGGAACCTTTGAATTAGGGTTTTTCAGCCCAGGTGCATCAAAAAAACGATACTTAGGGATATGGTATGGCAAAATCTCTGTCCAGACGGTGGTTTGGGTTGCCAACAGAGAAACTCCCCTCAATGATACATCGGGTGCTTTAAGGCTTACGAATCAAGGAATTCTTGTGATTCTAAATGGCAGTGGGAGCATAGTTTGGTCGGCCAACTCAGTGAGACCTGCAAGGAATCCAATTGCACAGCTTTTGGATTCAGCAAACCTCGTTGTGAAAGAGGAGGGTGATAACAAGCTGGAAAATTCCTTGTGGCAGAGTTTTGAACATCCAGGTGATACCTTCATGCCAGATATGAAGCAAGGACTAAACAGAAAAACAGGCATGGAATGGTACATGACATCGTGGAAGTCACCTGACGATCCTTCCAGAGGCAATATTTCATATATACTTATTCCTTACGGATATCCTGAGATACTTGTGATGGAGGATTCAAGGGTGAAGTTCCGGTCTGGACCATGGAATGGTCTGCGGTTCAGTGGCGTACCACAATTAAGACCAAATCCTGTATACACATTTGAATTTGTTTTCAATGACGAGGAGATATTTTACAGATATCATCTTCTTAATAGGTCAATGCTTTCCAGGATCTTGGTAAGTCAGAATGGTGATATCCAGCGCTTCACGTGGATTGATCGAACACAAAGTTGGTCAATTTATCTTACTGCAAATCGAGATAATTGTGAACGTTATGCACTGTGTGGTGAAAATGGTATATGTAGTATTGACAATTCTCCACTGTGTGATTGCTTGTATGGATTTGTACCAAAAATCAAAAGTGATTGGGAAGTCACCGATTGGTCAGGTGGTTGTGTTAGAAGAACTCCACTAAATTGTTCTGGAGATGGATTTCAAAAGCTCTCTGGTGTGAAGTTGCCTCAGACAAAAACATCATGGTTTAACAAGAGCATGAATATTGAGGAGTGCAGGATCAAGTGCTTGGAGAACTGCAGCTGTACAGCGTATTCAAATTTGGACATCAGGGAAGGAGGAAGTGGTTGCCTGCTCTGGTTTGGTGACCTAGTTGATATCAGAGTACTTGTTGTAAATGAGCCGGAGATTTATATAAGGATGGCTGCTTCAGAACTAGGTATGAAGTTTTCAATACTTAGGTTCTAATTACTCACAGTAAAGTCATATATAAAGTAAAGTAACTGTCCATATGATTCGTCCAAATACCAACTCAAGTGATAGCTGAGATGAGAAATAAAATGCAGTAGAAGAAAATTTTCTCCTTAATTCTAACCATTATATCCTGTTTACCTAAAACATCTTATGATAAGAAACACTGAAGAGTGTCTGTCAGTGCATATTGTCACAAGTCAGCATGCATAGCATAACATATTATTTAGCATAATCTTGAAACATAATACCCTTATTTACTCTGCCTAGATTCGTTTTCTTTTTTACATTGAATGAGTAGATAAATGTAGTGTAAGGGTCTAGATGGCTAATGGAAAATTTCCACCCATAATAACTAACCAAACAAATACAACGGCTAGTTGGCATTTCCCATCATTGTATTTTAACTCCAGCTTTCTCTGCCTTGGTATAGATAATGGTGATCGTGCAAAGGTTAATACTAAATCCAATGTGAAGAGAAGGATCATAGTAAGTTCTGTGTTGTCTGCAGGAGTTGTGCTCCTTTTCCTAGCCTTGGTCTTGTATATTCGGAAGAAGAATCAGTTGAAAGACAGTAAGTTACTAACTCGGTGAAATTCTGACCACTCCCCCTCCCAACCCCTTTAAAGATGGCAATTTAATTTATTCTAAGTATTTCTTTAGTTATCTAAGTTACAGCCACAATTTATTAAAGAGCTCATTATATTTGATGTGTCGAAGAAATTTGAGTTTCAAAGAATGCAGAGGTCCCTTGTTTCCTTTTCAGTCACAGCAGCTCTGTGTGCAGGAAATATGACTGGTGCTTTTGAAGGAAATTTAGATAACAAGAGCAACAGAGAAGACCTGGATTTACCATTGTTTGATTTGGGTACCTTGGCTCGTGCAACCAATAATTTTTCAGCTAACAATAAAGTGGGAGAAGGGGGTTTCGGACCTGTTTATAAGGTAATAATCTATTCACAATCATGCAATTTCTTTTTGGCTTCCTAAATTAATGGTACAAACTCTGGGCTGCAGTGTATTTCTGCAATCTTTGAACCTATTCAACTACAGAACTAAACATAGAAAATAAAAACTGGGGAAGTGTTTTAACTTAAGACGTTTAAACAGATGCAAGTAGTAATGTCGTATGCGACATCAAACTATGATTCTCAACTCATGATACAATGTACGATTTGCTTCTAACAGTGAGTGATTCTTTACAGGGAACATTGAATGACGGGCGAGACATAGCTGTGAAGAGGCTCTCTAAGAACTCAAGACAAGGAGTTGATGAGTTTAAAAATGAAGTCAAGCATATTGTGAAACTTCAGCACCGGAATCTAGTTAAGCTTCTAGGATGCTGTGTTGAAGTAGATGAAAAGATGCTGATCTACGAGTTCTTGCCTAACAAAAGCTTGGACTTCTTTATATTCAGTTAGTATCACTCCAAACCTGTTAATTTCTAGTTCAATTATTATATTTTACTTCATTGTCATCAAAGAAACACCGAAACCTATTCTGAGTGAGTAATGCTTCGAACAACAGCCCAAAGTATGTATCCTAGATCATTTGGAAAGACAACTAAGGAAAGGATCGGGAAACCATAGGCATGAAAACATCTGTCGAGTTTCCATGCCCTTTTGAAAATAGCTTGGTGGGGAAGGGCTTTCTCTACTTACGTTGTCATGTTACGTTGTCATGCATTCTGCATCTATGTATTTAGACAATGCATTTGAAATTCTGTTTGAAATTTCATTAAAATTTGAGTATGCAATAACTTTTTTTTTGTTTTTTTATCTGCATCTATGAATTCTTTAATCTGCATCTATGACTCTTACAAGAAGGTGAATAAATTGACATGGCAGATGACACACACAGATTGCTACTAGATTGGCCTAAGCGTTACAACATTATCATAGGAATTGCTCGTGGCCTCCTTTATCTCCACCAAGATTCAAGACTAAGAGTAATTCACAGAGATCTGAAAGCCAGCAATATTTTATTGGATTATGAAATGAACCCAAAAATTTCAGACTTTGGCCTGGCTAGAAGTTTTGGAGGAAATGAAACTGAAGCCAATACAAACAAAGTTGTGGGAACATAGTAAGTGTCTCCTGAGTATGTACTTTACTTCCATTGCTTGCAAACTCGACCTAAACATTTTGGTATACATGCAGTGGCTACATATCCCCAGAATATGCATTTGATGGAGTCTACTCACTAAAATCAGATGTCTTCAGCTTTGGTGTGTTAGTGCTAGAAATAGTGAGTGGGAACAAGAACAGAGGATTTTATCATCCCGAACACCAACTCAACCTACTTGGACACGTAAGTGTCAAAGTTGAATTTTTTTTTTTTTTGGTTACTTCTAGATGCCAAGTCTTTCTTATGACATGGTTTCATGCATCAGGCTTGGAAACTGTTTATCGATGGTAGACCCTTGGAACTGGTTGCGGAATCAATATCTGAAGCATGCAATTTATCTCAAGTGCTACGTTTGATTCATGTGGGTCTATTGTGCGTTCAAGAAAATCCAGTAGATAGGCCAAGCATGTCATATGTGGTTTTGATGATGGGAAATGAAGATGCTTTGCCCCGGCCTAAACAACCAGGCTTTTTTACCGAAAGGGATCTGATAGACGTGACTTATTCGTCAAGCCAGAGCAAACCATATTCAGCTAATGAATGCTCGATTTCATTGTTAGAGGCAAGATAGATTATGCTTTGTGTTTGTGTTTGATATTGTGTCTTGATGCTTGTGATCCGTGTTTTCCTAGAATCTATAGCTGCTTCCACGTTTTATTTATTTATTTTTATGTTCCATTACTAATCCTCTAATTAAGGATATCTTAACAAGAACTCTTTTGTACATTGATAAGAATCTCTTCATACTATATTAGTGCATTCTTTTCTTTTTAATGTTCTCCAATCTCTGTTAGAACTTAGGAGGCTAGTCCTTGCCAGCATTCTGATTTACATGTAAGAATATCTATCATTGTTAGGCATTTGTGATTCAACTTCATAGGAAAGTAATGCAACAAACAAATACTACTACTGCTAGCCAGAGCACGAAAAATCGTTCAAATGGAGTAAAACTTATGACTTGCATATATCAATCATCACTGAGAAGTTAACTCACAGCAGCTAAAAAGAAGCCATGAAGTTTAAGGAAATGGAAG